TTGAGCAATGTTGTTAGGAGAGGCTATTCCTTGGAGAGGGTAATAATTTTTTAAAAGTTGGAGGGACAGTGAAAAAGAGGAAGACCCTCAATCAGATGGATTGACAGAGTGACTGCAGAAATGGGTTTACTTGTTTCAGAGAAGACGAAGTTAGCACAGGATAAAACAGGGTTCAGGTCTGTTGTTCATATGGTCATCATGAGTCGTACTTGAGCGACAACACGTAACATTATCTTGTTAACTTTTTTATTCCTTAAGTCAAAGCCACTGAGAAATATTATCAAGCTCACATAAACATACACATATGTTCTGAAGTCATTTAAATTAAGTGATACAGGTTTCAAATATTACTTCAATAATAGCTCCTTGTTGATGGTAACCTTACTGAGCAATAATATTGGTAAATAAACTTCTCAGTAATTATCAGCAAAGAATTGTGGAGAATATTGTTGTTATGTACTACCAAGTTAGCACTGACTCACAGCTGACCCTCCAGTGGGCTTTCAGAGGCTACAAATGCACAGGGGGAGACTGTCCATCTTTTTTCTGTAGATTGGAACTTGTGGATTTGAACCACTTGCCTTGCAGTTGTCAATGCAACTCTTTACCACTAAGTCACTAGAGTTCCCTGGTGATAATAAAGTAATAACATTTATCCAGGCTAACTCCCTTTTACATAAGGAGAAACTGAGAGCACTGAAGTTAAGTGCTTTTCTCTTTTAGTCAGGAAACATAGCTGGTGCTAAAATCCAGGTCTCCTTCCTTAAGAAATCTGTTGTTTCATCTCAAGGTCATTTATCTGAGATTCAGTGATGCCACCTTTCTGGGAATGCCATTGAGCTAACATTGTAGATTTGTCACCTCCAGCTGTCTTTGTACCACTGTAAAGGAACTACAACAGAGACTTCCTAGATTAGGGAAGTGTCCCATTTGCAGGTAGTGTAATTCCACCAAAAGTAGCCCTGATGAGTCAAGTGAGACGGCAATGTCTAGAGGGTGGGACAAAGTCCCAGCACACCTTGTCCTCATTTCCCGCTATGTGATAAATTTGAAGAGAAGCAAGCAATGAATCTGTATCCAAGATGTTGTCCTGGGAAAGAACATAATCATTGTTATCATCTTATAGGCAGTGACTGAGTGGTACAGATGTAGCAAGAGTTTCAGAGAGATACAGATGGATTTAACAGAGTTAAGGAAAAGTTAAGTTTCACCAACTTGACTTTTCCAGGTCCTTGGAAACATCCTAACAAGTTGATGTTTTTAATTATTCTTTCCTTAAAGACCTCCTTCCAAACTGCATAAGGTTTAGATTCTTGATTTACCTGTAAGAATGGGATGTGCTAAGTGAAATCTAGCCAACTCTTTAAAGACCTCCATCGTCTGAGTTTCTTGGCTGTTACAAGTCTAAACAATTACTCCTTGGCTCTCCTTTGCAAATCATATCAAAAAGGTTATCAGATGTGGGAGGGACTGCACTTAAACCTTGGTAAGACTTCTCTGTCCTGTCAAAAATAGGATGTTTGCTCTTTATCTGTTATTGAATTTAAATTTTCTAGTGAAAATACATTTATAATAAATAACAAGTATACCATAAACAGTTGCAAGTGCAAAACTGAAATAGAATTTTTGTATACTGTTGTGTGCTCATCCCCAGGAAATATACTAGAGGTTGAAACCATGAAAATTTGTATTTCTATTTAGAAGATTTATCATTGTTTGTGAGATATATCCACTATGGTTTCACTTTAAAACCACAAATAAAGTTTTAACAATGGCATTTCTCTTGTTGAAAGGTCTGTGGTCAAACTGAAAATCTCAGTGAACCTGATTAGATCCTGAGGTTTCCAAACTCAATATTCAGCAAATGTGGAGCACGTATTTTCTCATAAGAAATAATTAAGAACTTCAGAACTTATGCAACTCTCCTGAGCCTGCTCCTTCATTCTAATGACATGAAAATCAGACACAACCTCTTCTAGTCTTGGACCTTACCACACAGGAGATTGGGACAGAACGAATCGTATGTGAATCTACAGTGTCAATGCTTTAGTTTTTTACAACAGCAAGTCCTTCATTTGGTGGTACTCAACTTGTAGAAATTTTATGTTATTAAATGCATTATTTCTCTATCTTCACTCCTAACTATCCTTAATCTAACAAAGTAGACACATGGTCATTATGTGAAGACAAAGGAATATTGAATAGTTAATTAGACAACAGCCAGTATTGTCCACTGTGTATTCATTCTTGTAATGGATTGCCAGAGGGTGAATTAGCATATTTAGTTTGAAATCTTGTAAAATAGAAAGGGGATTGTTTTAGCAGCTTCACAGTTTGCATAATAATCATCATACATCATGGAAGATCTGGCTCAAAATAATATAAAGTCTGAATAATAATAGAAAGGAAAATGTTCATCTGATGCATACGGGTTAAGAACCTATACTGATAAGATGTATTTGATAACACCTAGAAATCCATTTTTCTGTTTAAACATTTGTCTGTTATCTTGGAGACTAAATTCATTTACTCTCTTAGAACCAAATTCCCTCTTTTCCAAAGATGTGCCTAAAATGAAACATGCAGAAGTCAATGAATTGTCTCCTTTGCTGGAAGGGACCTCCAGAGGTCATCTATTTCGTCCCAGTCACCAGCCAGGACTCTTCCTAATACTGAATATAGCTACATAGCAATCAGCATTAAGAAAGCTTTTAAAGATCCCTAGGGTTGGTCAAAAAATAGCTAATATTGGCGTGATTCATAGAACAGCATTATATGTATGTCAAAATAGCCACCTTCATCAAAGAAGACATCCATCAGGACTGTTAAGTGCTGGTACTAGCTTCAAAAAGACAAGCTTTATTTTCTCAGAGAAAGGGGTGGTAGATTACGGAAATGGCCAAGCCTGATGGGTTTTGTTTAGGTGTATATTTGAATGCTTATCAAAAAGGAAACATTGTCAAGTCAAACCACTGCTGGGGAAGCCCAGAAGTGGTTATAAATGAGCAGATCACAAGTTCTTTCAAATGGCTACAAAGCTCAGAAGGGGGGTTGTTGTTTCAAACAAGATCTGATTAGCATCAAGTTACTGAAGTGCAGATGGTGAAACATAAGAATAATATTGACAAACCTGCTCTTTTAAGTGATATATCCCCCCACCCCTTATTAGCTGAGTTTGTTAAAGCAGGTAGTTTTATTTCCTCAGTTTCATTAAATGCTAGGAACAAAGGCCTGGAATTTGTATTATCAATGTCCCAAAATAACTAATCTCTTTGCTGTGTTGTAGGAAAAGGAATCCTCCACAATTGTTCAGGCTTCTGAATTACTAGTTGGTAGCCCACACAAGAACATGAAAATCTAGTTTAAAGGAAAAACTGAAGTTCTTCTCTTGATTATTTGGACCTTTAAGCCTATGAGTTAAATATATAAAGAACTTAAGGATGTGTGTGAACACCTAGGGTAGAAGTATATAAAGGATATTGCTCAAAAGATAAAAAATTATCTGCCCCATCAGTAATCTCAAATATCCATTTGGTATGGATTAGCTTGTATTTTTCAAATAATTTTTCTGGAAGTTTCACAGGAGCCTCGTCAACAATAGATGGGAACAGGGAGTGAAAACAACTAAAGGCTTGACTCATACCAACTTTTAAGTTTTGTGTTCTTACCTCTTACAAAATAGCTAATTTGAAAAGTTTTACATTTTAAAAACAGAAAGGTACCCTCAATGGTTCTCTCAGCTCAGTTTAGGTCACAGGAAATGCAAAACTCTGACTACCTGCTCTCCCAGCCTACTTTGTATGTATTGACTTTGAAAATACGGACTGTGCTGTTGAGAACTTTTTTAGGTGCCTTCTTACTAGAGAAAATGAAGTAACTATGTCTTCAGGTGTTCCTCTTCCTTTTGTGAGGACAAGAGGAGAAACACTTGCCTGCTTTTTAACATTCCCTCAGTGGGCCCTCAACTCACATAAAACCAGGGTGTTTAAGGTAAAGAACTTACTAGTTACTTGGCTAGTTGGCAGTTTTTTGTTTTTCTCCCTTCAAGTGCTCAGACAACTGTTCCTAACTTGTTACATGTAGAGAATCTGTGTATAAGAAATGTCATTTTTTAAAGTTAGAAGTACAGTCAACTTCCCAGACTAGATTCAGGCCATTCCAGTTAGGAGAAACTGAATTAACTTTAAGAAAGAGAATGTAAGGAAAATCAAAGAATAGCAGATTCTATAATTTTTATTTTAAAAAAACCCAACCCTCCACCTTCAAACTCTTTACATGCTATATGACATTAAATGCCATTTAGGTTTGTTGCAAGCAAATCTTTTCTTAAAAATATACATACTGTATATATTTACATTCAAGTTTGGGTAACTGAGGTCAAGGTGTAGTTCAGGTTCCAATTTTTCCCCACACTGTGAAATTGTTCAGCTACTAATGATTGTCTTCACTCAGGCACACAGTGAGGTAGAAACTGCTTTTTAAAGAAAGGGGGGATAGGAAATGGTGTAAAACGTGAAGCTCATCATTGAAATTTAGCTCCATCAAGAGTTCCTAAATAGCTTTGGTCACCTCAAGAAACTGAATACATGTCATCCAGTCCTTTAAATGAAAAACAGTAATCTGGACAGGTGCTTCTCTAAGCATCACAGGAGTTTGACAGGATTCAGCAACTAATACTGTGGCAGCTTCACCCATAAAACTGTGTATGATTTAAGTTAGGCAAGTCAGCAGTCGGCCTGGGCTGGCAGCTGAGTTACCTATTCCCTGAAAAGGTGCAAACAATGGGCAAAAGAGTGGCTAAAGAGACATCAAATTACTACCAGTACACACATGGAATGGAACTCAGAAGCTTGAAGTAAAAGACTTCATTTCCCTGTGAAACTCCTTTAATTTCTGCCCAGACCCCTCCCAAACCAAACTGAGCTCTTAATTTAGAGACAGGGGTGGGGATGGCCTTGACTTCCACAGGCAGAGAGATCTATCAGCCTCCAGACTGGACCTCATGAAGGTTCTGGGGCCTGGGAAGGGCTCTCTGGGTTCTTGCCTGACTTAGTGGGACTCATTCCTGAGAGAGGAAGTTGGAAGGAGGCCACAGGGTTGGCCAGAAGCCCTTCTCGTTCCCTTTTCTTCTGTTTCATCCTGCGGTTCTGGAACCAAATTTTGACTTGTGTGTCATTAAGTTGCAAGGCATTGGCTATCTCGATGCGTCGGGCTCGAGTTAAATACTTATTAAAATGAAACTCTTTCTCCAGTTCTGTCAGCTGCTTGGTGCTGAAATTCGTGCGGATGGCGCTGGAAGGACTGGCGGCTCCAGCTCCGTACTCGGCGAGTTTGCCTGCAACGTAAAGACAAGGTGTCAGTAAGGCCAGCGGGCACAGGGGCTGGAGCAGAAACCCAGGTCACCGTGCAGCCGTCCGGGCTCCTGCCAACTTTTACGGCGATGCCAGGAAAACTCCACGGAGAGGTCCTTTCTGCACGCTCAAGGAACCTTGGCTGCTTCACTAACGCCTGGGAATGCATCTCCTTCCTAAAACCCAGTTTGTCAAAAGGAAAGTTTTGACTTGTCCCCTGAGCTATTCCGTCCCCGGTTTCGGATGCCTCCCCCGCAGTACTTACTTTTCTTGGGGGCGTTTCTCTTCACTTTCATCCACTCAAAGGTGCTGAAGGCGGCGGGAAGGCTGGAGGCCGGAGAGGATGACTTGGGGTAGGTGCCGGGGGCCGGGGACGCTGTCTGGAAAGCCCCAGGGTGACTGTCGCCTGGCTCCTTGAGACACGCGGGGAAGGGACCGGGCTCGCCGAAGGCCGCATACTCCACCTGGCCGCTAAGGAGAAAGGAGCCAGCGCCAGAGAAGACGGCAGAGGCGGCGTAGTGGACGTGCGTGCCGCCGTCGTCGGCTGGCCGCCCAAGCGCGCACGGGAAGTCGTACCCGGGCCCGGGCCCCAGGAAGCCGTAGTCCGCGGCCCCCGCCGCCGCTGCCGCAGGTGCGGCGCCCGGCTCG